TTGTTCTGTAATATGGACACAAACTATACAATAGCAATCAGGAAGGCTCTTCATTTAAATAAGTATTGGCAGCCGTTCATAAAGGATTAATACTATGTCTGCAATGGTTAGAAAACAAGTTTCTTTTAACGCATACTCTACATGTTGTCTTTTCTTTCTTGCCAATTTAAATCTTGCTTAAAAAAAGACAATCTTGGCTATAAAAGCAATGTTTTGGAATGTGCTCCAATATGATTGATCTGTCCTTGTTCTTTTGGCAACTTAGCTAAAGTATTTTCGTCGAATTTTATGATTTTATGTGATTTGAAGTAATAAAGCATGACAGCCCCGAATTGATGACCTTAGAGAATTCTGTCTCTCTAAAAATGCAACACCATAACTATATTATAAACCTTAATTGTGAAATTATTTTTTTCAGTTTTCCCAGCTGTTTATGCAATTTAAGCATACTTTAAGAGACATGCTTTTTCCCATCTGCACTTTCATTTTTATATTTACTTTCTTCAAGAATACATTCCAGCCAAAGTCTTACACAAAAAATAGAATGTTTCATGAAAAAATCCCACGAAGAGTCACCGAAATGCTATCAACTACCTAACTTCTTTCAAATCTGAATGTATTAAATACCTCTTTCCCTCTCCCCTGCAATTTCATTAAGGTAGGATTAATTGATTGACTTACTTGCTCAAAAGCAGAATTTCTGAAAGAAGATGCATCACTAATAGTCAGCTATTAGGTTTTGACAATTACTTTGTCCAAAATAACCATCATGTAATCAAGGTTATATATCAACCAAGTCTTACATGCCAGCTATTAATTGAATTAAAAAGATTAAAAATTATCTTTCCATAGCTAGCCACGTGGTAAAGGAGAAGTCTGGCAAAGAAGCCCTGCTGCACCTTCCAAATTTGAGCAAAATATTGGAGAAGACAGACATGCTGTTCAAACAAAACTGCCAAGCTTCCAAACTCATGGGTGGGGACTGAAGCAGTTAATTCCTCTGCCCTTCCCTCTTGTAAATGACCCAAGCTACTCTTCCCCCCTTCAGAAATTCTGAGTGTGCTACTGCTTATAAAGGAAGGAGGCTCTTTGGCAGGAGCTGATGAATAGTACCGTCCAAAGAAGTCTGTCACAAAGAACTGCAGTCTTGCAAAATGGCTGCTAATCCTCAGTGTTGTCAATGAAGCTCAGCCTTGGCTGCCTTAACTGGAGCCTGTATTGAACAAGTTTGTCCGCCTCCCTCTTAGGGAAACCCAAGGGCCTCACTTTCCTGGAGCATGAAATGGGAACATGTTCTGCTCTCGCTAAGGTCAGTGGGAGATGATGGGAATTTTGGGTGAAAGTAATTCTTCTATTTATCTTGAAGAGAGAGGAAAGTAAGGCACCTGCCACTAAAAAAAAATTATAAAATGCAGTTGTAAAAAGTCTTACTTTCTACAGTTTTGCACTGTATGATGATGAGAGAGGGGAATATAAGTAAAGAGGGATGAGTGTGTAGCTTAGTTCAGGTCAGGAAAAGAGATTTTATGATGCGTAGATGCACAGAATGCACAAAAGTGGGAGAAGATTAGAGAATATGAAGGAGTTTATGTAATTGTGCTTTGTAGGATTTTTAGGGGAAAAAAAACCCCACAAGAATCTTCAAAGCCACTTAAGAGGTCAATATAATTTTGATGCTTCATGTTGCTCTAAATTAGAATAAATGAGCCAGATCATGAAACTGGCTTTAAATCTTAAAATAAATCCCTTTTGATGTTCATATTTCATGCTTATAAGTAAGGACAAATACTATATTCCCTATGTTACTTAATATTTTAAGTTGAAAAACAGATGTGAAGACAAACTGTTAAACTGGAGTCAAGAGAATACTTCAGTGATTTAGAATACATCACATGAATGAGATATTATTTGAAAGAGATTAGATACATGGAGATAGGCTTATACATACAGATATTCAAATAAGATAAATTATGGAAATGCAGATCTGTGTGTCCAAAGAAAATTGCTTTCTAAGGCTGCAAGCACAGTGACAAGGTATAAAAATCTGGCAGCCAGAACCACCAGATGCCTTAAACTGTAATCACAGGTTTTACATACTGTAATCAGAGCAACCTTACAACTGTGTGTTTTAACTGAGCAATTGCCTAAGCCTACCATAATATGTTTACCTTACCTTTAAGCCCAGAATTAACTCATTTTTAGTAGTGTGTTTTGGAATAACTCAGTGATAACATTTTCAAAGAAGTCATGCAGTTCTGTAATCCTGTTTGCAGAGATGACTTTGCTCAGATTCTCATTCTGATCTCTCTAGTGAACATGAGGAACCAGTCTTGAAGAATGAGGTTTAATACACAAGATTATTTTATGAAAGAATCAAAGCTCTTGATCAGTCTTTTCTTTGTTCATCTATTTATTGCCTTCTTTCTTTTTTTTTGTGAGCCTTTTTTCTAAATTAAAGAAGACACAGTATTTTCAGTGCTTTCTCATATGGTAGCTCTCTGATACCTGAGATGTCTCACTCCTTTTCTTTTTATTCTGTATGTCCTTTTTTTTTTTGTTTCCAATGTCCCTTCTCACTGCAGATGTGCATTGAGTCTGCCAGGCGAGGCCATAACCTTGATCTTTATAAAGGCATTACAGTTACTTGGCTGTGGTACTGAGGCAAATAAAATGCATTCTGGAGGTCTCCCTTCATTTTCTTTTAGCAGAGGTACATTTGAGCCAAGGTCTTTTCCAGGTTGTCTGTAATGATGTCCAGTTCTCCAGCTTCAGTTGCTAAAATTATTTTGGACTCATGTAAATTGTTCAATCTCTAGATGTCTAGCCTTTTCAGAGGGACGCATATTAATTGTTGTTCTTGGTCTTCATGTAGCAGTATCTAACTGGTGAAAAATTAGTTATTTTTATCTGTATAAAAGCCTTCAGAATTTTTCACATCTCCTGGAACTATGGTGCACTAAATACCATCTTGCACTTCTCACTATACTCTGACATAGCCTAATCATCAAGGACCAAAGATGCCTTACCATTACTACACAGTTTAAAGCCATTGATCTTAGTTCAGCAGAAAAGAAGCTGGCATAAAAGATGTCACCAAAGTTTTAAAAAAAATTCCAATATGTTTGGTCAAATTAGATTTGTCTCTGGGTGGAGAAGCTTTTGAAAATGAGGAATATCCAGGAGCAAAATGTAATACTTAAGAACTGATTCTGTGAACAGGGAACAACTCTAATTGCCATAGTGTGATGGTGATAGAAGATACCCATGTTGAAACACCATGCCAAAACCCAGTTGATTGTATGCTTACTTTTAGTATTGAAAAAAGCTGTTACGCAAGAGCATCTAAAGGCTGTCTAAAGGCTAGTTTTAAATCCTTGTGCTACACCTGAGAAGAAAGTACACTTATGCAGTAGTATAGCAGATGTGGGTCAAAGCTTGTGCCAGATCTGAAATCTCTGTTGTGCATTGCAGTTCATCAGACACATGGGGAGAATGGATTGGCCAAACAAATACTGCTTTGAAAGTTTGGTCACAATGGAAAAAAGAAAGAATGCTTACTTCAAACTAAGAATATACTTACAGTTTGAGACTTTAGTCTTTAGTTTTAACTTCTTCACACACCCTGGTTTCCTCATTTGCCACTTTTAAAAAACAACTGTGAAGTCAGAAAAAAATAAAATCCAGTCCTTGCTAAAGTAATATTTAAGGGGTGAATCATTCCAAGCTGACAGATCTGCCAATTGATCTTTAGCTGGTCAGAAGTGGAATGGCTATATCTGAACAGTGGTTTGATAGAATATTAAATCATAAGCTGCTTTTGGAAAGTAGCCATACAATAATGTTCGAAGCTCCTCCTTGCTACAAGCCATTATTCATATCAGACAGCATTATCAAAACAGTATTTTTACAAATCAGGGTATCTACTTGGTTTACCATTTTTGTTAGATGAGAAATTGGTGATGTTTCATAATTTGTGCTTAATGACACTAGCTATTTGTTATTAGCTAGTATCCTCTTTGTAGGTACCTCATGAAACTAAAAAATGATTATGGCTCTCTTGCGAGAACAACATGGAATGAAGTAGAAGTTTGGTTCTAGAAATTTACCCAGGCAATGAAAAAAAAAAAAAAAAAGAAATCACGTGGCCTGGATTTTTAAGAGTTCAAGCATAAGCAGTGACTCATGAAAGACAGTTATTGAGGAAATTATATTAAAGAAGCATGGAGAAAAATCAGACTGCTTTAGGATAATCCAGACACGTGGAAAGAAAGGTTCCATTCCTTCATGAAAGGTTACTTGAATTTTCTCCTCGCTACTTATTTTCTCCTCGCTTTTCATGTCTTTATTTGTTTCCTTGAAAGCAGCGTACTGTGTTATAAAATTCCTACCAAAAAAGCCTTATTAGTTTAGACACAGAAATGACTTCAGAATCAAGTACTTCAAACAGTTTTTGCATTCCTAAATATTAAGCATTTAAAGTATTTACAGGTTTTCCTATTTCATGTCTTTATTTGAAATGCTTTCTGATAAAAACGTGCATATAACAGTGTTACATGACATCTGACCTCTTCTCTGACTTCTAGTCATGTGATGAAAAATGCTTTTGAAAATATTTAAGTCTAGATACAGGAAGATGACTAAATTCCTAAGCTTTTGTCTCCAAAAAAATTCCCACCGCTGCCAAAGCTAGTGAAGCTCTTCTGATGGTTACAATGTTGGAAGCACTAAGGCAGAAAAGCTTCCAAGTGACCACAAGCATTCTCACCACCGTGCCTTCTATCTACCTCCCGCAAATCTCTGTTCCTGCCTTTAGCAAATGGGTGGCCACACATTCCTTGTCATATTCCCTTCCTCTCACAGAGCCTAACATTGGGAAACTTCACATAAATGCATAACAGGCAAGGAGCAAATTTGTTTAGCAAGGCAGCCAGCAGGCTTACTGTACTACCCCCCCTTCCAACATTTAAAGAATGCAACTATCTTCTCTCTTTCCCATGTAGCTTGAGAATTACATCCAAGACAGTATGAAGAAAGAAATGGTAGAGATCCAGCAAACTGCAGTGCAGAACCAGACTGCAGTAATGATTGAAATAGGCACAAACTTACTAAACCAAACAGCTGAACAGACCCGCAAATTAACAGATGTTGAAGCACAAGTAAGTAATGAATTTCAACCTAAAAATGCTTCTGCTTCCCAGCCACCTACAACTATACATTTAACACAGTTTAGTGTGACATTATTCAGTTCAACAATTAGAATTCACTCATTGTAATCAACAGCTCTACGTAGCTTAAGGAAACATCAGTATTTGGTAATACATAGTTCCATCTCAGGCCCATTGTTGTCACTTTATAGACTTCCATTAGTGCAGGATTTGAAGTATGTTTTGCAATACAATTGTTACATTCCTCTTTAAAGATTATGTACTTAAAACTACTATACTATATCCAAGCATTAGTTAGGTACCAGTGTGCTTCTATACAACCTTTGTTGTGTATCTCTGTTGATTATTCACCTCTCACCACCAGATCTTAGCTAAAAAAGAGTTCCTTCAAACTGCCTTTGTTCCATTTATCAGGCTAATTGTTTTTTTTCCATTTAAATTTTCTTTTGTATTTTTTAATATCAAGAAAAATGCGTCTTTTAATGAATGCTTTCACAGGTACTGCAAGTGGGATAACAGTTCATTTCTAGCACAATGCACTATATTATTGTTATTTAAGAGAGGGATAAATAAACAAATCAGAGATGAATCAAGAAAAAAGGAATTAGGAGGAGGCTATTAGAAAAGTATATTCACATGGAAGTAAACTTGGGTAATGTACATATTACTCTAAATTATTTCAAACAAAAAAAAAATTAATGGGTTTAATCTTAATTATTGCTTTAATTGAAAAGCATTAACTACAATAAGACATTCTGTGAAATAGAATGCGGATTTCAGTATGTTATAAGGACAAGTCCAATCAATGTAGAATGGTGTGTATTTGCGGTTTTGCTAACATGGTAGGAAAATTCAGATATATAATTGCCAAAACAAATAACAAATATAGCATGCAGCACATAACATTTTATAAAATGTAAGTAGCATGTAAAACCTAAAGTCTTTGTTAGAAATTTTACTATTTGTAGAATTCATACGATTAATTAAATTACATTTTTTAACCTGAAACAAGCCTTCGTGAACTCTTCGATAAACTGATAGTTCACAGCTCGCAGGCATACTGAATACAACTTTCTGATTGCATTATTCAGGAGCCCAGTATTTTGCATGTGTTGACAGAATGTATTTATTCATTCACACTAACGTCTTCATGGAAATTATTCAATTATTTTCTGCTTAAAGGAAGAAAATCATTACTGTAACTTTCCTTCTCTGCTTGAAATTACTGGTGACTGGGTTAAGGGCTTAATTAACAACGTAAGGAAATTAACCAAACAATTGCTCTCTCAAGGACACTTACTTTTGGCAATAGTTTTCAATTACACTTAAGTGTGAAATCATGTCCTGAATGACTGTTTAACATGAAGGACATGAGTAACCAATTCTTCCTGCCAAGGAAAGCCAAATTCTGCTGAATTAAAAAAAGCTGTTCTAAAACAATGAGAAAATATTTCTAGAAAACTTATCTCAAAGTAATGCAACCTCATACAAACTGAAAAGTATCTTCCATGTTTCCTAATATCTGCATTTCTTCATTTAAAGATGCAAATAAATTTAGACAGTAAACAATACATATAGAAAGGGTAACATTAAAATGCAAGGAATGAATCAACAGAAGTGTGGTTCACATGATATACACTTTAAAATCTAATTTGAGATTAAGGAAAATCGCTATGAGGGAACTATCTAGTGATTTCAGGACTGGGACAAGATGTCTACCAGTGAGAGATAAACAAAGTACTTTCTTTCTACACCAGATTGAGAAAACAACTGAAATTATGCTCTGAACAATAACCATAATAGTTCCAGTAATGAAATAGGAATATCGTAACAGAGGGGAAAGTATGACAGCAAAACTAAAGTACACAGTAACTCTTAGCCATTGATGAGAAACATAGCATACTACTGAAATATTCCCAATGTTATATGGTAGTATAACAACAAAACCAGTGCAATTCTGTGTATTCTGCTTCATTCTAATTCTATGAGCATTTGTGCCCAAATTAAGTGTTCAAAAATATTTTTTTAATTACAGGCTTAAGTAGAGTTTTGCATGATTTCACAGCATAAAGAAATTACAATTTATTTAAACGAGTACCTTGATTTTAAAATACTTTTATAAATTTTATTTAGGTATTAAACCAGACAACCAGACTTGAACTTCAGCTTTTGGAACACTCTCTTTCAACAAACAAACTAGAAAGACAGATTTCAGATCAGACCAACGAGATAACTAAATTGCAAGAAAAAAACAGGTACGTTTGCTTATCAACCCAATAAAATGCTATTCCCTGAAGTGCCCTTTTAATGGTTTTAGAAACAAAGGTACTCAAGTAGGGAAATAAGGCCTTGTACAGAAGCTCCCCACACCCAGCTATGCTCATTACAAAGGTCATATTTAAGGCCTAGAGAATCATGCAGGTTTATTCTTCTTGTGTTCTGTTTATATGTCGTTCTTCACTATCTGAAGTTCTCCTTTATATGAGGAACTTAAGGTTAAAACCAAAATACTTCTCCATACTTCAGCTGTAGCAAATTTACAGCTATACTAATATGCAATCAGGTCATTGCCCCAATTTTTTCCTAACCTGGTGAGAAAAATCAAATACTACTCATATTCAATGTTCCTTACTAGTCAATCTTTTGAAATTCAGACCCATAGCCAACTATTGCTCCTATCCGTTTCTGTACTCATTTGTTGTCCAAAGGCTCATACCTTCTTTCAGCTAGTTTCATTTTCATATCACCAGGGTCTTATTTTACTTTTGGCAATAAACAGTTTACAGAGGAATCTAAAAGCAGCAATAACAGTAAGTTTTTTCCTTCAAAGCCATGTTTTTCAATGAGAACCATATGTGCAAAGTGCTTTTTATTTTGAAAGAATTAGCTTAAAAACCCCAGGAGACATGTTTTAGCATTTTTGTTCACTACTCTCCTACATTTATATATGCTCCCTAAAGATTTTATCTACCAGCCTAATAAAAATAAGCGTCCTTATCAAATAGAAAGCAAAGTACATATGAATTTTAAAATCACTTTTTTTTGTGTTGAACTCAGCAGACTTTAGACTACCCTTGTAAAACCCCACATAAACACAAAAGCATTGTTTCTCACCTAAAAAAAGACAATCTGACATCAAGCTAATCTGCTTGAAATGTAATTACAAGGTTCAGGATATTTTTCAGTAATAGCAATGGGGTTTAGGTGAACTTATCCTTTCTGACCATGCATCAGCTTTCTCAGGGTTTGCATCAGAACAATTACCAATGAAATAATGTTCCAGCCAGTCACCTACTCACACCAGCTCCAGAACCGGAGCCGGGTAACACATCTTCAAGTAACTATTTGCACATTTCCCTGTCTTAACGCAGTAACATTTATCTATGCTAAATATATGCTTTATAATAATTTCAGGACATTTGAGAAGTTCATAGGTTCATCTTTAAATAAATTTCATCTTTTAATAGGGTAAAACCATGAAATCTTTCACTATATCTTTCCTTTCATGATGTTGAATTATCAAACACTCAATTTTTACACTTTTAAAGCCTGCAATACAGACTATAGTAGGTAACATTTATTAATGAACTAATATAATAAATTAAAGCATATATATAAAACTAAACTCAGCTTTTATTTAGCTTTCTACTGCGTGCATGGCATCAGAGAATGGAGTTGAGTACTTAGGAAGAAAGAAACTTCTGCAACAGGCTTGATTCTCTTTACATCAGCTCAAAATTGTTTCTGGGATGCCTAATTGTAATCTTTTATTTAGCTTTCTAGAAAAAAGAGTTCTTGAAATGGAAGACAAGCACACACTTCAGCTGAAGTCAATAAAAGATGAAAAAGATCAGCTTCAAGTCCTAGTAGCCAGACAGAATTCAATTATAGAAGAACTAGAAAAACAGTTAGTTACAGCTACAGTAAACAACTCAGTTCTGCAGAAACAGCAACATGATCTGATGGAGACTGTTCATAACTTGCTTACTATGATATCTACACCAAACTGTAAGTAAAAGCAGGCATGCTTCTATCATTTGAGTTACGTTCCCTAATTTGTGTACATCATTACCTATAAAGTCTTGCAACCAGTTTCGCCACACTTCTGCTTCTCAAAAAAGTTGTTTTTTTTGCCTTAAATTCTGCATCTGAGTTATTCACTTATTTTTTAGGGGTGGAAGGGAACAACCAAAACATTTATGTGGTTTCTTTTCAACATTTTGGTCATCTTCTGTGGTTTATATTGCTTTACCAGCTCACTTCGCCAGTGGTTCAACAAAATACAGAGATACCAACTATCATCCATCCCGCATGGCATTCATTCATCTGGCAATATACATTCCCATGACTATGTATATAGGTTAGACTGCATGATGTAGGCTCGTAGCTTTTCTTCCTGATTCACAAAGGTTGCTTCTGCCACCTCCCATTGCTCTAAGCGCATAGAGTTGATCAAAGAAGAGACAAATTATAGTGGCTATTAAAGGCAAAGGAATCGGCACTGATCCAGTTTTTAGCGCCTATGTATACCCTAAACCACAGAAAGCAGCAGCCCAGGGCTGCAGGTGCTCCCAAAAGTCCTCTGGTCTTTCACTGAAGCTTCCCTGTTCATCCTAAAAATCCCTCAGCCTAGCAAATTTTATAGGCAGTAATCTCACCCCTAAATGCCTGCCAGCCCTGCAACAAATCATAGCCGCTGAGTAGAGCTTCCAAATTTATGCGGATTCACATGCTGCATAAAAAAACCCACACCAAACATAAACTGAAAATTACGGCTAAACAGGATTTAAACAAATGAGCAAATTCCTTACCTTAAATTTCATGTCTGATAAGGAATTTTGACAAATTAAGAAGGAATAGCTGTTCTATATATAAAGAATCTGGCATGTTTGCTGGTAAAGTTCTCAGGGCTGGAAATACATAAGCATATAGAACCTCTAAAAAAAAGGATTTAAAATTAAATAATACAAAAATTTAAAATAGTTGTCATTACAACTTAAAAGTCAGTAGAAGGACTATGCTACTTTACTGCAAGTTGGATCACAAAAAAGGAAAAAGGTGTTCGGAAGTCCTTGCTTTTCAGTAGTGTCCTAAATAATATGATGTTGTAGGTTTTTCTAAATAAAGTAAGTCCCAAGTTTTTTTGTCTTAGTAACTGACACTATCCCCTTAAATACCATTACCAAGGCTGTACGTGTTCCTGCTGTTGTTATCTGCTATGCTAGTGCACAAATAAGTAAACAAGTCAAAGTCATGTTGGCTACAACACTGTTAAACACAGAGTGGAAAAAATAATGAATGCTTGCCAAAAAGACAAAATTAGCAGGGAAAGCTTCTAAGACAGTATACAAACAATAGAGTGTGGAAAAGCAATTAAAACACTGAACGTGTTATTTTTATATTTAAGGCAAAGCATGTAAACAGGTAAATAATGAATAAGCAAGCTAAAAGGGACATAATAAGCAACTGTAATATAAGCATGTATTTATATGGCACCTAAAACTTTGTACTAACTGGCTGTGCTTGTTAGATTAAATTAAAAGGGAAAATACACAGAACCAACCCCAAAAGGGTCAAATATGAAATATCAGTCAGCAGGCAAAATGCCAGGAAATTCCAGCCTCCATGGTTAATAAAGAACTGAACAAAAAGATGAGCCTTAGATTGTTCTGTAAAATAAGAAGGCTTAGGCATATTAAAATGTATTTTTTTATACAAATGAATTCCAGAAGGGATGTCTCCTTAGTAGGTTGGGCTGAGCTACCAGACTTCAGCTTGGTCCGGACTCAGTTGTTCCTGCT